TGCCAAGTGTGAATTCTGAGTTACTTGCCGACTGTGTCGTATCATGTTGTGCCACAAAATGCAACACTGGTGTACATTGCTGTGTGACTTTTCTGTGCAGTATTGACATTTACATGTGTGCAATTGTATGCACCTGGAGACTGTTGAATAATGATGTGTCTGTATGCATGCTAGCTGAGTCGAGCAACATTAGTTGGCACGCGCTCCCTCCCAGGATGTCATTGGCATTGATTTTGAGCAGTTTTGAAACTGAGGAACAGCAGGGAACTTTGTGATGATTTGACACTATGCAACTTAGCAGTAACACTCATCAAGACGTCTGTTGTTGTTGAGGACTGAAAATGACATCACGTGATCATTTTCAGCGGCAAAATGGCCGCCCCCTTGAGATGGATAAAAAAAAAAAAACAGCTGGGTCTTGCTGCCTAATTCATACTCCACAAAGGCAACATTGACCAGAATGGCCTTGCTGGCCCTGACGATCAAGCACTGCCGTGTCTAAAACACCAGGGCAGGCACAGCAGCAAAAATGTAACCGAAGTTTTTACAAGGTGAAGTCTCCTTTTAGCTCCAGGGTGGGCTTGCATGCTGCATGTTCTCAGTCCAAATGCCTCGTGCAGTATGGAAATGCCAAACGTTTTTTTTTTTCCCCTCCCTTCGCCCCCACCACCCCCTCCTGCTCCTGCTGACAGTTGAACCTCCTGTCAGTCACCACAGCTGTGGATTAGCGGGCGCTGACGCTTGGCCCTTTCTGGGAACAAATGCCCCGATGTCCTTCCTGTCAGTACCTTTCACGTTGAATATTATATCATTTCACAGGCTCTACCGTCAACTCTCCAACCTCCCCTCCCACAATTGTCTCTTCCACCCACCCCTTGACAGCAGTTTTTTTTTTTTTTTTTTTTAACCCCCTGCAGCATAAAATGAGGCTTGCCACAGCAGGACACAAAAATTCAGAGTCGGCCGTTCTTGACATCCAAATGTAGCGTGAATGCAGGAAGAGTGACAAGGAGGAAGTAAAGGAGAGGCCTGATACAGTCCAAATATCACAAACAAGAGTATGTAAACCTCGTCAGGGCACAGACCCCCACCAGGGTTGAACTGTTGTTGTTGTTTAACAATTCCGTTTTTTTTTTTTTTTTTTGGTTTTTTTGTTGGTCTGCCTGTAGGTTGCACAATGGACAATTGGTTAGCCCCATCACATTTATTTAATATGCGGCAAATTAAAATGTTTAACTTATGCACTATTGTACTTGTAAGATGTAATAAATAAGAGATTAAAAAAATCCTCAACCGGACAGCCAAGTCGGTCTTTATTTAATTGCATCGTTCCTGGCAGGCCCTTAGAGTGCAAAGACTACAGTCCTTCAAGTTTGTCTTTATTGAATTATTAAATGTAGAAAAAAAGGGGGGCATTAACATTGAAGGATGAAGGAAAGGATCTTGAACTGAGAGATGTGAGGGAAGAGTAGATTTGATTGGAATCCATTTTTTTGGTGAAGCTCTACGGCCTCGCCGCCCTCCTCGTAATGGCCGCACGTTTCAATCACGTGACGCATCATCTGGCCGATGTGCAGTTCCCGGTTTACAATTTGTCCATCAGGGCTCGCGACGCATTGCAAACCTCATCCATCATGCTCAGGAAGTGGGGTTGGGGGGGCTCGCAGAAGCTTTTGCCTTGTCACATCTGCAATGCCTCAGTCGGCTACCACTGCATTATGTTGCATTTGCATCTGCCTCTGCAAGGCAACCCTCACCACCCCACCCCACCCCCCCTACCCCCCCTGCACCATATTTTCTTTTTCCTTCCTCAAGTGTCACCTTTGGGACCATTCTGCAAGTGCACACTTTGAGGCCAATGCATGGGCGTGTAATTATTGTTAAAATATAAGCATTGAAACCAGGAAAGATTTGTTTGAAAAAAAAAATGCTGGGGGGTAATACATCACAGAGAGGAAATTCCTTGCAGGAGGACCCCAGCTCCTTGCAGCCTTCACCCCCTCGCCTGCCTTCTTCCCCACCTTTTTTTTTGCCCACTCTCGCTCTTTCCTCTCTCTCTTTGCATCACCTCCTCTGCATTGAACTCACTCCTCGGTTACTATTTTGTGTTGTGAAATCAGGTTTGTTCATTTTTATGAAGCTACAGGAACATACATTGATAGCGTAAAAGCCGGAGTAAAGCAACATGCCACATGTTTGTGATTTTTGTACACATGCATGTATGTATACTTCTATACCTAAGTACAATGTTTTTTTTGGTGAAATGTATACCCATCAAAATAGTGTTCTAATCTCTCATGGCATTTTCTGGAAACAGCAATAGTGCGGGTTGTCCCGAAAGGAGTGTCCATGGAGTGTGACTGCTGCCCACTGTGGCTTTTCCAAAGATGACGCCGAGGGTGCTGTGTTGATGTGCATGCTCTCTGTGTGGCCTGTAGTTACCGCCAGCTGACTGTTTCTTTTGAAGCCGAACAGGGCACAGGTTGTTGTTAAAGCACTCTGTGTGTGTGTGTGTGTGTGTGTGTGTGTGTGTGTGTGTGTGTGTGTGTGCGCGTGTG